TCCAAGGCCTGAACGACACTTCCACTATGGCATCAATTCTGCTAAGATCGGAAGGTCTGTTACAAAACACAACAAAGTAACTTTATTTAAGACCATGACAGTTAGTGTCTCTATCACTGCAATCATATTTTCAGTGGGAAGTACTACAGTTTGAATATGACCTGTCCACACAGGAAATCATGATAAACTGGTCATTGTAACAAGTTTGAAAAGCAGTAGAGATTTTTGACAGATGATTAGGCATTCAAATTATAAAGTTCTCCTGGAAATATCTTCGATCAGTTAGGGCTAGAGTAATTACCATAATAATAAATTGTTATGAAGTAATCCACATACTTGGCCTCTTTTGCACATACACATTTCACATTTTACTTTTCTGTCATTTTAAAATATAGACAAATAGCTGTCATTAGGTATTAACCCCAGGCTGTCTGGACTTCACAACCACCAGAATCATGAGCAAAATATAGCATTTTTCCATGCATTGTAGTATGCCACAAGTATTTTGTTATAGAAACATAAATGAAGTTTTTTTAATGATAAAAGCTTGATTTGAACAAATGAAATGCAATTTTATAATTCTATGGATTTACTGTGAAACATTGAACTGTAACTTTTGAATTCATGAATTGTATGCTATGTTCATTTTATATTATCAAAATGTTAAGTACATTTTAAACTGGCGATTAAATTTTGACACAGCTGCATTATTTTACTTTTATATTTCTAAGTAAAGGAAAAAAATGTAAGCAAAGTGGTTGTGGATATGAAAGAGGAAGGGAACGGCAAGCAAACTTTTATGACCTTTGGGTCATCTGAGTTCTATAGTACCCAAGTGTCCACATGATCAAAAGCCAAAAGAGTATTGATTTGTAAGAAGCCATAAAGGTTAGACTTTAACTTTTTTAATGCTTTGTCCTTAAAGTAAACCAGAGAAGGACAGCAAAATTTGGCAGAGCACTGGCATTGCAGCAATATTCATGAGCAGTGGGTTTCAGTTCTGCTGATATGTACTAGGGCATCTGTACAGAGGTCACAGGACACCTGGAGAGAATTGCTTCTCTCTCTCTCCCATGTATTTACATAGGATTAAACGCAGATCATCAGGATTGGCAGCAAATGCCTTCACCAGCACAGCAATCTTTCTGACTGTAGTCATTTTTTTAAATTGTATCTCTTAATTAAATAAAATGTAAAGTAAGGGTCTAGAAAGATAGCTTGACAGTCAAAAGAACTGACTGCTCTTCCAGGACCTCCATTTCCCCACAGGGAGGCCCACTCTTTTCTCTAACTCTAATCTCAGGGGGCTCCATTGCCCTCAGCTGGCCTCCCCAAGCACCAGGCACACAAGTGCTATACAAACGCACACAGCAGCAAAACACTCACACATACAAATAAATAAACTAAAAATGTAAAGAATATGTGAACTGATTGCAGGCTTCTACACTGGCTATTGGCTAAGTTGCCCAAGCCCACCGCATCCGTCCTACATTTGCAGGCCTGGCAATGGCCACACAGCTCCCGCACAGACTTTCCCAGGCGAGTGTCACTGGAAGCAAGCCTTCCTGTGCCAGCAGCGAATTCCCATGCCTAATTCCAATCATGCAGCTCCTGCACTGGCTTTCCCTAGTAAGTGCCATCAGAAGCCTGCCCAAGCCATTTCGGAACTTCTAGACATAGACCCGGACATGCAGTGCAGACTTTGCGAACCTCAACAGAATTTTATGCTTCAATACTGTCCCCAAACTCCAAAGCTCCAGGGGTATATCTCCTATAAGAGCCCAGACTGAAGCAGGCCAGAATACTACATCATACAGAAAACAAATGAGAAATGTCTACATGCCCATATCACAATGCAAAACACAATTATGAAAGGTCAAAACAGTATGCCCAACCCTTTAACAGAACAGTCCTATGGAAATGTTCTCCAGTGAAAACTACTTAGATGAGCCACAGGGCACATACAGCTAGGGAAGACTGCTTAATTGCTTCCTCTCTTGGCAGATCTCATAGTATTTTCTGGAACCATTGAAGTTAGACTGTAGGAAGAGGCTTACTGGTCAGATCCAGGTCAAATCCTCTGAGTTCTGTGTCCTAAGTGTGTAATGTCTTCAGAAATATGGTCCCACCCTAAATCCTTAAGAGGCAACCAAGGGCTGCATCAGTAGCCAATATTGTTGGGGAGTCACTTGGACAACCCCGACCAACCATTTGAAAGGAGGTTGTCTTAGTTAGGGTTTTTATTTCTGTGATGAATCACCACGACCAAAAGCAAGTTAAGGAGGAAAGGGTTTATTTGGCTTACACTTCCATGTCACTGTTCATCGTTGAAGGAAATCAGGACAGGAACTCAAACACATCAGGAACCTGGAGGCAGGAGCTGATGCAGAGGCTATGGAGAGGTGATGCTCACTGCCTTGCTCTTCATGGCTTGCTCAGCCTATTTTCTTATAGAACCCAGGACCAGCAGCCCAAGGATGACATGACCCATAATGGGCTCTCCCGCATCAATCACTAATTAAGAAAATGCCTTACATCTGGATCTTATGGAGGAATTTTCTCAGTTGAGTTTCTCTCCTTTCAAATAACTCTAGTTTGTGTGTCAAGCTGACATAAGACCAGCCAGCATAGAGGTATAGTGTGCTGGAGAGAAATCATGACTGATACTGGAAACCTAGCCAGCCTTTTGGGGATAGTGACATTATTGCCCTTAGGGTAAAAAAAATCAATGATTTTCACTTTGCTAGACCAGCACAATTCCTTACTACATTCTAAATCTTATCTTTATACCCATAGGTAAGTGTGTGCCTTAGTCAATGTTCTATTGCTGTGAAGAGACACTGAGATCATGGCAACTCTTATAAAGGAAAGCATTTAATTGGGGTTGGCTTACAGTTTGGAGGTTTAGATCATTGTCATCATGGCAGAAAGCATGGGGGCATGCAGGCAGACATAGCACTGCAGAGGTAGTTGAGAGTTCTACATCCAGATCTGCAGGAAGAGAAAGAGAGACACTGGGCCTGGCTTGAGCATTTGAAACCCCAAAGCCCACTCCCAGGGACACACTTGCTCCAACAAGGCCACAGCTACTTCAAAAAGCCACATCTCCAAATAGTGCCATTCCCTGGTGACCAAGTTTTCAATGATATGAGCCTATGAGGGCCATTCTTATTCAAACCACCACAATGTGGCTGTCACACTCTACAAGAGAGAATTATCACAAAAAAGCACAACTTGGCATAATTGAAAATATCAAAATGTCAAAAAGTTCTGCCCCAATAGATACATGTACATCATATTTCCTGTAAATACAGCTCAAAGAATATGATGAAAGAGAGAGCACATGATTGTAAGAGACAGAATGCCAGGAAGTGAAGTCTATGGTGAAACAGGTTCTTCTAGAGCCCGCATAGGCAAGCTTGAAGCCATGGCAATATCAATGGACATATTAATGTTTAAGGGAGGAAATTTTGTTTGTTCTCCACTCTAAAAAACAGCAAACCAATATTTCTACCTCATCCTCCCCTTTTTTCTACTTTCCTTGCCAAATCAGAGACTAGTGAGGAAAAGAGCATTGTCATCTCTCTCTCTCTCTCTCTTTTAAATGCTGTACTACTCTCCTTATAAAAGAAAGTTCTTGATAGGCGAGCAGCTGAGTCTCAGTAGCATTTACATCACCCAGAGCAACAGCCATACAAACCACTCTCCTGAAATAACCTTTGATTTTATCTGTATCTGTCCCTCTTTGGGCTACAATTGCATAGATGATTTTTCCTAGAAATATGAGAACAAATGTCCATTAAGATCAGAACAGGCATTGATTCCACTCAGGTGTGGCAAGGTGAGCCAAGGAATTTATTTAGTTCTTTACAAGAGCATAGAAGAGTGCATACCTGAAAGGCCCATCCCATCATGCTGAACTCTTAAGGAAGATGCATCCTTGGCATTTCCTATGTTACTTTGTGTTAGTGAGTTTTTCGTCAACTTGACATAAGTTAGTGTCATCTGAGAAGAGAGAACCTCAGTAGAGAAAATGCTTTAATCAGATTGTCCTGTGGGTCAATTTTCTTGTTTGATGAATGATTAGAAAAGCCCACCCCACTGTGACTGTTGGCATCCCTGGCAAGGTGGTCCTGGATGTAAGGAGAGCAAACTGAGAGAGCCATCAGGATAAGTCAGTAAATGTTGTTCCTCTATGGCCTCTACTTCAGTTCCTGCTTCCAGGTTATGGCCTTGAGTTCCTGCCCTAACTTCTCCTCATAATGAACTACAGCTCTAAGCTGAAATAAGCCCCATGTTCTCCAAGTTTATTTTAATCATGATGTTTATCATGGCAATAGAAATCTAAAGAGGATGCACTTGTAGACATGTCCACCAAAAACCCTCCAGGATCCAAGTAATTGTGTGTATATAATCTGGAAGAGATACGTTGTAAATTTTTTTTATTCCCCTGAGCATCTTAAGACTGCCTCTTCCTTTCAGGAGGGAATATGGCAATTTGAATGTAACATAATGCATCATACATAATCAAAAATTTTGAAAAATACCAAGATCTAAGAAATGCTGATTTCCCCATACCCTTGTTTGATCTTTACTGTTATGTAAGAAATAGGAGGTTCTCATGTGTGACTCTTCATATGACTCTAAAATGTTATATTTAAAGCAAGATAATTATACATTGAATGTGTTTGATTTTAGCTTATTAGTATCAGGCACAAGAAAGAAAGAAAGAGAGAGAGAGAAAGATGAAAGAAAGAAAAGAAAGAAAGAAAGAAAGAAAAGAAAGAAAGAAAGAAAGAAAGAAAGAAAGAAAGAAAGAAAGAAAGAAAGAAAGAAAGAAAGAAAGAAAAAAGGAGACAAACAAACTTTGTTAACCTCGAGTTCCTGTTCCATGTGCGTATTTACAGATGATATTACACCACCAGGCTTGTTAACTCATTGATGGTTTTGAAGTTATATGTTAACTTCCTGATTTATTCAACTTTGCATAAAAGCATGAAAACCTGCAAAGAATGATAGATGTCAACAGCATTCCATTTCAGCAAGATGTCTATGAAACAGACTTCAGTTTTGCTGCTGATACAGCTGATATGCTACTTTAGAGTTGGAACTTGTGGAAAAGTGCTGGTGTGGCCAACAGAATACAGCCATTGGATCAATATAAAGATGATTCTGGATGAACTTTTACAGAGAGGTCATGAAGTAACAGTTCTGACATCTTCAGCTTCCGTCCTTATTGAGCCTAGCAAGGAATCTTCTATTAATTTTGAGATTTATCCTGTGCCTTTGAGTAAAGATGATCTTCAATATACTTTTGAGGAATGGGTAACTCGATGGACATACGATTTTCAAAAACCCTCACTTTGGATATATTATTCAAAAATGCAACAAATCTTTAATGAATATTCTGATGTTATTGAAAGCTTCTGCAGAGCTGTAGTTTGGAACAAGAGTCTTATGAAAAAACTCCAAGGATCTAAGTTTGATGTCATCCTTGCAGATGCTGTTGGTCCCTGTGGTGAGCTGTTGGCCGAAGTGCTTAAGACACCTTTAGTGTACAGTCTCCGCTTCTGTCCCGGATACAAATGTGAAAAGTACAGTGGGGGGCTTCCACTCCCTCCTTCCTATGTGCCTGTGGTTCTCTCAGAATTAACTGACCACATGACATTTGTGGAAAGGGTGAAGAATATGTTGCAAGTGCTATACTTTGACTTTTGGTTTCAACCATTTAATGAGAAGACCTGGAGTCAGCTTTACAGTGACGTTCTAGGTAAACTGTCTTTCACTGTTACAGTGAAATCTGTAACTTGCTGCTTCTTAGAATGTGTGTGTGGATGAATATATAGTCATAGAATGAGGTTGCTAATTGTGAGCTAATAAAGCAAAAATAGAAGAAAACTAAATAGACTCAAAACAAGGCAGAACACTGTAGAGTTGTTCAGAACACTCCAGAAATTGCTCTCCATGCAAATTGAGACAAAGATTTCTCTTGGGAATCATTTGATGTATTCTATGTTTGTCTTAGTATAAGAAACTCTAGGTTTCAATGAACGCATTAGTGACTGTAGATATATGCACTAAGGACTTATAATTCACTACCATGACTATCTGTGTAGCACTAAAGAAAATATGTTCCCTTATAAAAGTTTCTTCACTTGCAAATTGAAACATTTATCTAGAATGTCATGAAAGGTCTTTCACAATTAATCATTATCTCTAACACCAGAAACAGTCAAGGGAACTTGGTTTTCTTGGAGTTTGAGACTTCTTAGATGCCTAAAACTGATGACTTAAAGCCTAAAATCTTGCTGAAAAAAATGCAGGCATTTTTATTGGCTGGTTTTTAAAAATGCCTTTCCATTAAATAAAATAACATCTAAATTAAGAGTAAGAAGAATTTGAATGTTAAATTTTTTATGGAAAATATCTAGCTGTAACTTCCACATATACAAATGTTAGCATTACCAATCCTTTCTGATAGACCCAGTACAGCAGTATCTAAAAGGAATTTAGTCATACCTTACAGATTATCATAGTGCATTTGAAGAATCAAGGATCAAGAAACTAGCTTCTAAAATACATAAAGTAGAGTAAATATTCCATGAAAGCTGTTTTTTTCAAGATTCTTTGCAGCAGTCAAAAAGCTTTGAAATTATTAGTGTAACTTTGGAAGACAGTGTAATTTTTACACAAATTATTATTTAATTTTATAATAATATTAAATTTAATATTAGTACATTTATATTATAAACCACAAGTGAAACATTTCAAATTGTTGTCCACATTATTTCAACTCATCACTAGAAATCACATGCTGTATGCCAGACAAAACCCTTTCATCCTTGTATATTTTTACTTGTTTTTGTGGTGCAGGAAGACCCACGACATTATATGAGATAATGGGGAAAGCAGATATATGGCTCATTCGAACCTACTGGGACTTGGAATTTCCCCACCCACTCTTACCTAACTTTGAGTTTGTTGGAGGACTCCACTGCAAACCAGCCAAACCATTGCCTAAGGTAACCCTATATTGTTTCCTCTGATAAATTGCTTTGTATCTTTCATGGAAACAATTCTTCAACACTCTTTCAGGATGTTGGGTTTCATGAGAGATATAAAAAGTGGATTAGAATTCTCTGACAACTGACATATACATTATTTCCATACTTTAACACATCTCTGTGTCACACTACCATTAAGCAAAATATCGTATCATTTTTGAATGTGGTCAGTGACTTAAGGGCCTTTATGTAGCTCATAAAAAAGAATTAATATTCTATTCAAGAACATTTAGTAAATGCCAGAGACATACATTGAAAATCTAAAGAAACAAGAATAAATTTCTCTAACAAAGAGAACTTATATTCTACTTGAACAGATTATAAGAATGAAGAAATGTTGTATATAATATAATAAATAGTGTGTATTGTGTTACCAGAGGAAGACAGATATGTGGCAGACATATCCAACAGAGATCACAGGCACTGTCCCAGAATCCTTGCATAGTTCCAATGACCTGGCCAGTGTGCAGGATTAGATGAAAGAATGAAAGGGAGAAAGAGGAAAGCAGACAATTCCAAGAGCTGTTGACAAAACTCCACACTCAGCCAAGCAGGATGACAAGCAGGCAGGTCATGTGAGAGCCTCGTCTAGGAGTGCTCCACATGGCCTCTTGTTCTTCCCAACTTCCTCCTAGTCTTTCTACAGTTATGTTTTTGCTGGTATTTTTGTTTTTGTCTTTGTAGTTTCCACTTATAAAAGAAAACAAAGTTTCTCTTTGTGTGCCTGGCTTATTGCTTAACATGGTGACCTCTAATTAATATCTGGGTAGAACACAATTATGTTTATATACCAACACTTTTTTACACATTTGTCAGTTGAAGACTATCTAAGCTAATTCCATAATTGGGACATTGTGGGTAGTGGTATAATAAACATCGTTACGTGTATTTTTTTCTCTTTCTGACTATTTCTCTCAGATGTCTCACCCAAGAATGGCATAACAGAAGTGTACACTTAGAACTAATGTTATTTGTATGAAGAACCTTCTTTGTGCTTTTCATATTGGTATCACTTCACATTCCTAACTACAACAAATACATAAATGTTCAATATCATAATGTCTGTGCGAGTATTTGCTATTGCTTTAATTTTTATGACATACATGCTAACTGGATTATGATGGAATATCAACATATTTTGAATTGCATTTTCCTAATAGCTAAAAATATTAAAATAATTTTTCATATAATTATAGGCTACTTGTACCTCTACTGAGAATGGTCCCTTCTGGATCATTTATCTATGTTGACTGAATTATTTTTTCTTTTGATATTAGAATTTTTTTAAATTCATCTACAGTCTGGATAAATTCACAGATTTTTTCCCCCAGTTTTTAGAGTCTCTTCATTTTGATGATATTTTTCTTTGTTATTCAGAAGCTATTTCTATAAAGTAGTCCCACTTGTCAGTTCCCAACTTATTTACTGGGCTGATGGGATTCTAATCAGTAAATTACTATCTTTTTCAATGTCATTGAGTTCTCTTAGAGAGATTTGAACTTTCAGTTTCCATTTTTATGTCTTTTATCCATTTTGAGTAAAATTTCAGAGTGAGAAAGAGAGTTCTATTTTCAACCTATATGTGCGGATAAATAGAATTCTCTGTACCATTCTTTAAAAGGTCTGTCTTCAACTTCCACGTGCAATTTGTGCACCTTTGTTAGGATTATAGAAGATCTGTAAACTTATTTTTCATACTTGGTCTATGTGTCTCTTTGCTTTTTTCTGGTTCTTTAAGAATTTTATAGAGTGTGTTTTCATTATATTCAGCTCTCCCTAACTTCTCCCAAATCCACCTCTGATCCTTATCCACCCTAACTTGTGTTCTTTTTTCTTTTTTCACTCTTCTAGTCAAATTTGTGGAATAAAAAATTTTTAAATAGAAAAAGAAATCAACATAATCTGACATATGATAGATATTGTTAATATGCCACTGAATTTTACTTACAAGTATTTTATTCCATCTGTGTTCACTGGTGGTGTGTTGAAATTCATGTTTTTTTTTAACCAAATTGTAATAACAGAAAAATACTAGCTTAATAAGAAGGCTTAACAAATATTCCTACTCTTTCCACATTATGGAGATACTTGGGTAGCATTGGTATTATGTATTTATTGTAGCTGGAGAGCATTCATCATTGAATCTACTTAGTGTGCAGTGTTTGGCTTTGTAACAAATGTTCTTTAAAGTTCATTGTTTGTTACTGTTGTGTGTGTTTACAATGAAGTTCTTATATCCTCAGTTTTCTTTCATTTCTTCAAGATTTCCAGATGTGTTAGCATATTGATTTTATTTCTTTTTTGAAGCAGAGTTGGAGTTTATTGAAAGACATTTATAAAATAGATTTTAATATAGATTTTTTTTTCCTTTTTTTTTTAAAGATTTATTTATTTATTATGTATACAGCATGTATGACTGCAGGCCAGAAGAGGGCACCAGATCTCATTACGGATGGTTGTGAGCCACCATGTGGTCGCTGGGAATTGAACTCAGGACCTCTGGAAGAGCAGTCAGTGCTCTTAACCTCCGAGCCACCTCTCCAGCCCCAATATAGATTTTTTTTGAGACAGGGTTTCTCTGTGTAGTTTTGCTACCTGTTCTGATCTTGCTCTGTAGATCAGGCTGGCCTTGAATTTATAGAGATCCACCTGGCTCTGCCTCCGGAGCGCTGAGATTAAAGGCGTGCACTGCCACTGCCTGGCCATTAATATAGATTTAAATCACAAGGATAAGTAGAGAGATGTTCATGCCAAGATGAAGACATATGCAAGTGTGTATATGAACTTTGCAAGGGAGTGTCACAATTGCCTTTACAGTAGCCATACTACTGGAATTGGAATTTTTATTCATTCCAATTTTCTTTCTTTCTTTCTTTCTTTCTTTCTTTCTTTCTTTCTTTCTTTCTTTCTTTCTTTCTTTCTTTCTTTCTTTCT